AAAGACAATCATGAAAATGAGCTTCCAGAGTGCTTAAAAGGTGACAAGGGCAAAAGAGTACGTATGTTCAAAGTAAGAAGGAATTTTTGAAGGGGAGATTTTAATCACTCGGGTTTATCAGGAAATATCTTCATTCTTCCTTTCTAAAAGACAGTTTTAGTTTTAAATGTAGACTTCTTGACAGAGAGTCATTTTAAAAATTTGAATATGTCATTCAAGGTCTCCTGATGTCCTCAGCTAAAACGAGGTCATTTGCCAGTCACAGCAATTGTCACTTGCATGTGAGCTTCTGCTTTTTTCCTTTTTGCTCTCAAGATTCTTTTTCTTTTGCTTATCTGATTATGGTGTATCTAGGAATGGATCTCTATGATTTCATCTTACCTGAAATTCACTGAACTCCTTTGATGTGATTAGTGTTATCAAAATTTATGAAGTTTCACCCACTGTTTCTTCAAATATTCTCTTTCTTATGTCTTTCCTATTCCTCTGGGAGTCTCATTTTGGATACATTGTGTTCCACACACCCTTGAACGGGTAGTTGTTTTTCTTTACTCTTTTATTTTTCTGCTTTCTGTCTTTCCGACTAAAGAATCTCAATTGACCTATTTCCCATTACACAGATTCTTTCTACTGCTTTCTTGGTTTTTTCATTGATACATCTAGTGAATTTTCATCTCACATTTTGCATTTTAAACCCCAGAGTGTTTACTTGAAAGTAATACATTAACAAGCCTGGGTACTGGCACAAGTTTGGCATAAGCAATAAATGTTAGCTGCCTTTACAAATATTGTTGCTACCCGCTTCTGGGCTACTCAGAAAAATTATCTACCTTAAGCTTCAATTCATCGCTGGAACAAGCTCAGGGGAATTACCCATGTCACAAGAATTTGAAAAGCTATTTTTCATACTTTCCTGAGAAGCGTATGTAGACTATTGGCAAAGAATTCTAAGACTTCCTTGAGGATTACACTTTGTCATACTCATCATTCTGAATACTTCAAGTCAGTCTCAGCTCAGACATTTTGTCCCTATTTTCCTATGTCTTTCTACTGACTTCTAAGTGGCACTGAGTCTCTTCCCTTTTATCACCGGAAAAGTCTGTCTTCACAACTGCTTTGACACTTTGATGTTAGTATATCTCCTCTCAATTTTCTTTCTCAGAAGTCCATTTCTTCCATTTTCATATTCACCCAGTCGGCCTAAAGTATCCATGTACCCTGCATGACAGAGGAAGTCAGCTCTGGAAACCAGTAATGATCATGCATTTTGAAACATTCTAATGACACTCTGGTAGCCTGCACTCCTCCTAACAGATGATTACATATAATCCTGGGCACATCATCATGGAGCTCATACAACATCATACAGACACACAAGTGTGACCTCATTTTCTAACAGGCGTGCTTAGTGGAGCCAGACAAACTTTCATTTAATGTACTCATGATGCTGGAAAGATTTCTAGATCTTGGATTCATCAGTGAATATTAATAAGAGTCCTTGCCCTTACGGAACCTTCATCTTATAGGGGAGGCAGACAGAAATAAAGTAAATGAGTGAAATACACAGTGCAAAGTGCCCTGGGGGGAAAAACTGGGGAATTTTCAAGGAGTCATAAGGAAGAAAAAGACCCAGGTTTTAGCAAGTTCTAAGAGTAGACTGGCTGAGAAGGAAACCTGAAGGAGTCCAGGGAAGGGTCAAAGGCACATGGGGTTGACTGTTCCCACAGAGATGCACAGTTCAGGGCTTTTTTGGGAGACTTTAGTGACCCAGTCCCCACTCAGGGTCTCTGTCCTATGTAACTGAAACTCACAAGATCAGCCCAGTCTTACTTCCTGGAGATGATACCTCACTCTGTGGGAGACTTTCTGTTGTTGGAGCCATACCCCCAGCTTTGGAGACACAAATCTGAGCTCTGCTGCAATCTTCTTGCATTCTAAGACCTGCTGTTTACCGCACATATCAGCTCCTCTTTCTTGGCACAAGAGACAGGTGGGGCAGCTGTCACCACACAGACCATCTTGTTTTTATTGCGCAGCTGTTTTTTGTTGGTAATGGTACCTTGTGTTCTTTCTTGCATTTAAAAGCTTCCTTTACTTGATGGTTTGGTAGGAAATATTTGAGATGAACTGGGTCAAAATTTAGAGAGGCATCTACAACAGTGAAGTCAATATTTGGAAAAGGAAAATGTGGACTTGGGGACTGAAAAGCTTGCTTCTGCTCTGTTGTCTGTGTGCTGGTTTCTCAGGAGTAAACCTGTCCTGTACTGTGTGGGGTCAGGCTCCACAGCACCTGCCATGACACAGTGAATTCCTATGTGGAAAATGGCAGAGGACTCTGTGAGCACTCAGGAGGGTGTTTAGGGTAGGAAGAGAGGATGCTATTTCACTTTCTTGCCTCTAGTCTGAACTGTTGGATCAGAAGGAATGGGAGCCTCTCAAGTTCATGCTCTCTGAACTGCCTGTTGCCAATCACTCGCCATGGGCAGCTGTCAGGGTCAGCACTGACCATGAGCATGCTTTCATGATCACCTAGAGAAAGGGTCCAGAGTTGGCCCCAAAGGACACCCAGATTGCAGATTTATCTCCTTTTATCCATTATCTCCAGATCCCTATACCAGCTTCTTAAAATAATTATATGTAGTAATATTTATGCAAATATTTTTATACATGTACCATAAACACCTGAGGCTGCAGTGCAGCAAGGTCTTTTTACAAGCTGACAATCTGACTTTCCCTATTAATAAGAATTGTGAGGGCTGGGGATTTAGCTCAGTGGGGGCTGGGGATTTAGCTCAGTGGCATAAGCCCCTGCCTTGCAAGCAGGCAGTCGTGAGTTTGATCGCCGGTACCAATAAAAAAAGGAAAAAAACAAAACAAACAAACAAAAAAAAAGAATTGTGTCTTGGATGACATTGTGGTTTGGGCTGAATGTCCCCCTAAAGCCTCATGTGATCATGGAGGGCAGGCTCTTTGGAAGTGGCTGAACCTAGAGTTTGTGACTGTTCATTGTCTAGTGCTGGGATTGAGGGGTATGAGTGCTGTACTATCCTATGGCAGGTAGCCTGCACACAATCTAAGGCTCTTGTTGCTTTTTCTGTCTTCTACTTCCATGAACTTTTGTCCCTCTGCCATCCCACCTGGCCTTGGAACCGGCTGATTGTGGACTGAAACCTCCACAAACTGTGAGCTAAATAAACCCTTTCTCCTTTAAACTTGAGTACCAGATATTTTGTCTCAGTGATGGGAGAAAAATGCCTAAGACAAGTGATAACAGTCTTTTTGCTATTCTTTAGCAATGGAGAGCCTAGGCTGAGCCACTCAGAATGTGACACCTAATTCTGCATTTTTCTTTCCTGTATATAGACCAAAACTATGGGTCCCAGAGTCAGAGTCTTTCGATGAGAGTATAAGACCGGTATCACAAAGGAGACCGGTCTCATGTAAGAACAAAGGGGTTTTTATTATTCCGTGCACACGGGGTCCTCCAAACAGGTGGAAATGGAGAACCCTGAGTTGGGGCAAGGCTGGTGTTTTTAAGGGGGAAAAACCACAATGTAAGCATTTATTACAGAAGCCAATCATTACAGTTAGTGTGGAGTGGTGGGCATCTTATCTATCTGCTATTGGTCATAAGGGATGACCAGCGGGTCAGAGTTAATTAACTGTCTTTGTTCTGCACAACTTATCTTTAAGACACCTGGTTTCTGTAGACTCGAGTCTGACATATTTTACAACCTGATTAGCATAATGGCAGGCTCTATCTCTGAGTTCCCTGACACAGCACATCCCGAGAACATCATAGCCACAGATGTTTTTTTTTTTTTTTTTATCTTCCTGCAGGGCTGAGTTAGGACTGAGTCACAAGGCCCAGTGCTGTTTCTAGCTGAGAAACAGCATCTTGTTTTTAACCTTTAAATTTCTGGTTCTTCATTCCCCCCCCCCTCTAATCTTAAAGGTTAATTGTAGCTAAGGGAGTATATTGTTGTCTAAGGAATGGTCCTTATTTTCATCTGAGAGACTTGGGAGTTAATAAACTGAGTTATGTGATTTATAAAGAAACCTGTAGAGCCATCACACTTGTTGACCCGAGTCTGGAAACTGTATTGCTGTCCACTTAGCTCTGACAATCTCGGGAGTTTCTGGTGTTTCTCAAATTACTCCCATCCTTCAGACTGACATTATCTCAGAGTGGCACTTCTGCAGCAATATTTGGAGAAGAAAGTGGGGAAGTTAATTATCCCAGGACAGCTCGTTAGCACAACTTCTGTAGTTTGGAGAGGGCAACAATGGTTAATATATCAATTAGGTGAGATTCTTGCAATTCTTTACAGAGGAGAGTATTGCTCAACATATCAATTAGGTCACTTAACATATCAGTTAGGGAAAAAGGATAAAAAAAACATTTAGTAAGCCACTTTACAGGTTTGCTATAATACACATATAACGAAGCTATTTTCTTAGAGTACAACAAGAGAACTGAGTGCTGGGCCACTAGCCTGTTTCCTGTTTTGAGTAGAGGACTCTGGCTACTGAAAACTATCTAAGCCCCCAGAAGGGCAATAAGGAAAAAAAGAAGGCTTTGCCTAAGGCAGAGAAGAGAGGGAGGCCAGCTCAGGAGAATACTGTGATGCCAAAGAGCCCACTGTGTTGCTTCACTTTCTACCCCATCAGAACTGTGTGAAGACCATGAGGCACCTAGAAGGAGCTAAAAATACCACAGGTCAGAGTTTTGTGAACTTCAGAAAGATTGAGGACAGAATTAAAAGATCTCTCATTAAAGCTGTGACCTGGCCCTTTGCAGGCCTCTTGTTCCTGGAAGTCTGTGCTGGGGTGACAGGGGAGTTTACTGGGCTTTTATTAGGTCCTTTGTGCCTGCTGCTTTTGAAGAGGCTGTTTTTCTTTGCTTTCAAAATAAGCCCAGTGGGAAGGAAATGAGCTCATTGGGATGGATCTATGCCCCACCTCCCAGTGGTTTCACTTCTGATTTCTCAGGTCTGAGGTAACAGATTATCTCAGCTCAGAAGGTGATAGCCTTGTTGGGACTGGCCACAGGCAGTAAAAGTCTTCCTGAAAGCCCCAGGGAGGCTTTTGTGGGCGGAGGATGGAGTAGGGCTGGGTGTCTGTGACAGTGTAATGGGGGTGGAGAGAGTGTCTGCTGACAGCACAGCTTCTTAACCTCTACCTCGAGAAACACCTGAGTATTAGCTCACAGCTCTTACATTTCCTCTGCTGTGGCCTTTATCTAAAGCTATACCACGTCTCAGAAGATCTGGAATATAAGGTGAGTGAGGCTAACTATGATCACCAGAAGTCTTAAAGGAGGGGAGGCCTAGTCTCCAGGAGCCTGGCACCAAGCAGACAGGGATCTAATACACCCTTGAGCATTGTGACCACTAAAGAACAGAAGCCTGTAGAAGAAATCCGGTGTCACTCCAAGACACTGGTGCTACTTATTTGAGGAAAATGACCTGTTTGGAAATATTATTTGAATTCTGGTTTTTAAATCTAGGCATAAACATTTCCCATACAAGATACCTTGCTTACTTTCCTCTATTCTGCACTTCTCCCAGATAATTTCCCTAGGGTGGAGTGGAGTGTGAGGAGGACAGGGATGGGTTCAGAGAAGCCCTGGTATAGGAGACAAGAACCTGGGACTCCCTGGGATCCCCACAATTATAGGTATGCCTTAGTGTCTTTATTCTCACTGTGGGTTGCCCTGGAAGTGAAAGATTAAAATTAATGCACTGGAATTCCAAATAATTTTGTCATGGGATTAAACATATAAACTTCCCAGATCTCTTGGCTTCTGGTCCTCGACAGGTGGTCATCAGGTCCTCAGGAATGGACATGAAGGCAACTAGCAGCAGGATCCCACAGAGACTTGTCCCTAATCACCCTTCCATCTTCCCTGTGTCCCGATTATCTGCACTTGTCTTGGGAAGAAATTCTCAACCTGGAGAAGACAGTAAGCTCCCTGGTTCACCAAATTACTGAACCCAGGAATAATTGGATCTCAAGTCCCACTTTCCCTCCTAGATCTCTTTGTAGTTTTCTTTCTTTCAGTTTAGGGAGAGGAAACAACAAACCAATTCTTCTGTATGCCTTGGTTACTTTTCTCACCCTCCTGGTTTGTTCTTTACTAACACTTTCTGAACATTACCTCCTATAATTTATGTGGGTTGTGGTCTAGATTAAGCTGGAGTGCAGTTTGATTATCTAAATAGAATCCTCTATAGATCCCACTGTGAGCTGAGTGTTATCACTAGGTATAAAGAGATAATTCTGGTGCTAATTTTTCTTGATGTTCATTAGAACTGGAAGGAGTTTCTTACTCCCTCACTGAGTTGTGGTGCTTGCTCCAACATCTGTGAGGAATCTTGCCTGGCTTTTCCATCTCTCAGCACTGGTCCCAAGGGTCTTTGTGCAGTGATGCAATGTCCTATGGCTGGGCCATCCTACAAATACCAGCCATAGAAGACTATTGGGCAATTAATTGTGGATAGCAGGATAGAGAAGCTGGATTTTAAATTTTATTAAATATTGTAGAGATACCTTCCCAGACCTCTGTGAGATCTGGGAAGTTTATATTTTTAATCCCATGACAAAGTTATTTGGAATTCCAGTGCATTAATTTTAATCTGTCACTTCCAAGGTCACCCATAGTGAGAGGCATATCTATAATTGTGGGGATCCCTGTGAGTCCCAAGTCCAGTTAGGGTGATGGTTAACCAGAACAAAGGCCTCAACTCAGGGCCAAACCAAGGTTTTATTTTCTCGACAAGGGAAGTGGCACAGGAATGAGTGACTGTGCAAAGTATGTGAGCTGGGCTAGGTAGCTGGCCTGCATTCACCTCTGCACTATGCAGAAGGAATAAGCTGCATAACACAGTTTGAGGTAATATCCAATGTTCTGGGATCTTTAGGCTGAGTGCTTCAGCTCTGATGTATAATCTTATGGCCTGGGAAGTCATACCCTCTTTCTCAAGGTTCCACCCAAGCTGACTATGTGGTGTGTGGCTCTCCATCCCACTCAGTTCACACATGTTTTTGGGGAGTCACAGGGAAAACACTGACCATCACCTTGCTTCAAAGACTTCATTCACAATTGATTTACATTAAAATCAATTGAAGGTGTAAAGAAATGACTTAGCCAGCTCTGTATATATCAATACGTGGAAATAAGGCCAAATTTAGCCAAAATGGAGATAATTGTTCTTTTTTTTCAAGGAGAGTCATCCAGGTAGTCCTCTACAAATATTCATTAGGTTATATTTTAAATGGTCACAAATAGTAGTGGTGACAATATCAGACAATACAGTTAAAATGTTTGTACACATTTTTCTAAACTGTGAACCTACCTCATCCTTCTAGAAAGAAGTTTGATTGACTCTCAGAGGCAATTGCAGCCAGCTCCTTGTACACAAGCTCACATTAGCTCTCTTCCCATCCCTGTGGAAATTCTAACTGCTTTATCTTCATGTCCAGATTGGTAGTGGAGGTTCTTGAGAAAAGTCATGGCTTCAGCCACTGGCACCAGTAAGATGAAAGAGATTGCTACCTGTTCCATCTGCTTGAATCTCATGATAAAACCAGTGAGCATCACCTGTGGACACAGCTACTGCCAGTTTTGTTTGCAGCTGTATCTTGAACAGATGCCCCCAAACCAGGGGCAGATATTTCCCTGTCCTCTGTGTCGGGAGCCTTTTCATAAAGATAGTCTGCACTCCAACAAGCAACTGGGAAATCTCATTGAGGTTATACAGGAAATGGAGGAGACAGAGGATGAGCTGGTGTGTGAGGCCCACGGACAGCAGCTCCAGCTCTTCTGTGAGGATGATGGCCAACTCATCTGCTGGCGCTGTGAACGGGCACCACAGCACCAAGGGCATACCACGGTGCTGGTAGAGGAAGTATACCAGGACTACAAGGTGAGTGTATACTAGGGCCTAGCAAAGACCTGCCCCATGGTACTTCCAAGACCTGAGCTTATTAGTCCCAAAGCCTAAAATGATGACTCTGAAGCACAGAGGTGGTACTCTTTTGAAAAATAGCTTATGATGGATCCAGTCCAAAGTGTCCATGCTGACATTCCACAGGATGATCATACTGGCCCTATTCACTGTGTCATTATGGACTTCTCTCTGCTTTTGCACATACTTAACCAAACACCTGCCTGAGTTCTGCTTTGCACTGTGTGTACTATGACAAACAATGGTGTTCAGGACTGAGCGAAAAAAATCTGGAAAAGGAATGAGAGGAGGATGCACTCCCCATGGAAATTGTAAAATCCAGTAGAAACAGAGTTCAGCAAGGTGACAGCCTGAAGCCCCAGACTTTGGAGCTGAGAGAGATAGGAAAGGAGGGTGAGGTACAACCCGGAGGTGGTTCCTGAGAACACATACACTTAGCCCCTGCAGGGCAACCAGGCAAAAAAGACCTACACATGCAAAAGTGCAGCCACAGGGGTTCTGCTTTGCCTTGGCCAGACTATGGGCTGTATGTATAGGACAAGCAGGTGGGACTGAGGAAAGGAAGACAGGACACAGGGTCTGAGTTTCACTTCCCAGTCTCAATACTAGACCATAGTGTCACTTGTCACAGGGGCAGTTTCACTTGCAGAGTAAAGATTCACTGCCAATGAAAAAATTACTCATGCAGTCTGAAAATACAAGGAATATCTGGTTAGAATTCAAATGACCCGTCAAGAAAGGGAGTTAGAGGGCAGTTTCAAACAAGATTCCAGATGAGTGACAGTTGGAAATGATGGATGTGGACGATGAGTGGGAGGTGGGTTCTGGAAGCTTCTAAGTGTCTTAGAGAGCTAATAAAGGACTGGTCTGTGCAGTGGTGAATGAAAGAGCCAGCTTAGTCCTGCTGCTCTGGCTCTGGGCCCTGCTAGATCTCATGAGCTTATGTTCAGCATGTTCTCTTGGTTCTCTCCTTCATGATAAAGAGCTGGGGTCCTATGCAGGCTCCAAAACCTTCTTAAAGTTACACTGGTCCTGACCCCTTTTCCATACATGTGATGTTTCCTTAGTCTCCAGGGAGCGGCTTATGCCTATAACAGGAGTATTCTTGTTTGAGTTTCTTTCCCATCAAGCGGTAGGGGAATGAACATCTCAGGGTCATGACTGTCAGCCCCAGAGGCAGACAGCTGAGGATGAAATCTTAGCTCTTCCATTTACTAGATGGACAGTTTGGGGTAAGTTATTAAATGTATTCATGCCTTGGTTTTCCTATCTGTATATATGGATAAAAGAATTTTCCTCCTTCCCTAACACACACACACACACACACACACACACACACACACACACACACCCTGGGGATGTAGGAGCTTTAAGGACCTTATAATGTGTAAAGCTTAGAGTAGCAGGTGGTATATACTCAGAGCAAGGCAGTCTTGCTAAATCAGTTAGGCCTAACCTTTTCTTGAGACTGCTAGGAAATTCATGAATGTCCTTGTGGGGCTTATAGAAGGAGAACCATTATTTTTGACAATGAAAAATTGGCATCTGTCTTAACTTGCTTTCAAGGACAGTATGAGATTGCTTTGAAAGATAACCTAAAATTTGACACGGACACTAAGTCCTTTTAGACTGGCTTCATAATTCCATCTTTACAGCACATCAGAACTCCCCTGTTGTATTAGTTGTATTCATTAGTCATCCTGGTCTTTCCTTTCTGGTTCATTCACAATACTCAGAAAGTTCCGAGTGCCAAGCATTCTGGAATTGGTTATTTTTGGCTTAGCACATTAATTTATAAGATTTTGTTTGGGGTGATTATCATATCTGTTTGTAATTTTCCTTTGGCTCTAGTGTGGTGGGGTACATTGCATAGACCCTGATCAGCATGGGATATTAGAATCACAGCCCCATTGCCTTTCAGTTATGCCCCCATGGTAGAGTTATACAACCCCTTCAGAGCCTCTTTTTGCACAATGTAGAAAGGATATTAAAAATCTTACTAACTCTTTAAGGTTGGTGAAGGGATCCACATGTCACATTTCTTACATCCCTCAGCAGTCTCCTTGGCAAAGTAGAGCTCAGGAAACATTCACTATTATTTACTACATCTTGAATTCTGTAACTTCCATTAGGTGTCTCTTAAAGAATAAAAGTGAGTAGACTTTACTCATCTAATTTTTTTCTTCAGAAAAATCTAGAACAGTCTGCCAGAAATTTGAATCAATTTCAAGAGGAATGTAAGAATCAGAAGGTGTTCATAACAACCCAAATAACTGAATGGAAGGTAAGGATGTGATTTCTGGAACTTGAACTAGTTTTCCTTCTTAGTGACAGAGGATGATTGAGAAAGACAAAACATGAGGATGGTTCATTCTCACTGTACCTTGCCAGGTACTTGAAACCACATTCAGTAAACAGGCCCTTTCTTGGCTAGGATTCATGAAACAAATAAAGGAAATTAACTTGAGTTATAAAGGGTACTGTGGCTGCTGCTGGAACCTATACACTTGGACCTATAGACTAAGGACTTTCAAACTCTTTCCATGTCTCACTAGGCTCCATATTATTAGAGACACATTTCTTTTGAGAAATATCTCTGGTCTCTTTTAGTTGATAGTTCATGTCCACAGGCTAATTAGCCAGTCTATCCTTTTCCAGGTCCTCCTCTATGTGTGGAGATTGATTTGTAGTTTCTAGATCTTGGGCAGGGGGAAGACTCTGAGTATAGCTAACTGATATGAAAAGCTCTTCAATACTAAGGATAATTGTGTACCAAATTCCTAAATAAAATTTCCATTCTAATCAATGATCTTCTGCCACAGTGTAATTGTCGTTGAAATTCTGCATTAATTTAAAAAGCACTCCCAGAAACTGTAGTTCTACGTTTAATCATACAAGAGCTACGCCATTTATTTTGTTTTTTATACATAGATAACATTAAGGTTATCCTAGGAAAATGGATGAACACTTGTCCACTAATCATAACATAAGGTACCGCAACTGCCTCTGTATACCTCTAAGAATCAAGAAGTGCTACCATATAAATTATGTTGAAATTCAGTCTTCTTGATATTCTTAACTAGCTTTTGCTATAACAGATTTCCCCAAACTCTGAGACACTTCTTGCATCCCAAATAAAAATTTGTTTTTACTCTTCCTTTGTTTAATACATAAATACTTGTACACTTATCCACTATTCTGTATTTGCCTATTTTAGAAAGACATTAATTCAGTTCCATTATTGGGAACCTGGTCAAGATCTCCAGTCTCCCAAATGAGTGGATGACAAAGGCTTAAATAAATGACACATGTGGTATAATTTTAGGGCTCCAGGAGGTCAAAACCCTCTAGAAGAATACAAGATTCTGGGGGCTGAGACAAAGAACTTCTCTAGGTGGCCCATATTTATTTGGCTTTCAAACAAAGGAAGGAGATACTGAAGAAAGCACAGGAACTGAGCAGGACCTTTGGAGTCAGTTCAAAGACTTCTCCAAATAGTAAATCATTGTAATTTAGGAGAACTAGCTTATCTCCAGGTTGAAATTTATGGCAGTACTGAGACAGCAGGAGTAAGAGACCTGCAGCTCCAGTCTCAATCTAGTTAACTGGGGTTGAAGCCAGGTGTCCTCAGTTGTGGCCTTATCTTGACCTTTGAGGCATCACTGGCATCACAGGTCACTACAGGCATCAGCCAGAGATTCATAGGGGTTCACATACTATGAATCTGCTGCCCATCTCCAGACAAGGGGCTTAGGCCTTGGGAAGACTCACAAGTAAACATAGAAAACCAGTTGGTTAATTTTAAATCCTGCTCAGAGTTGCTTTGTTGTGGTCTCTGTTATTCCATAAATCAATAACATGGCACTCGTGTCCGCTTTCCTTTTGTATTTGGCTGCATGAGGATTTTCATCCAGTTACTACAGAGATGTCAAAAAGAGTTTCCCAAATCTGAGCATCAGCAGGAACCTTGGGACATTCTTTTTACTCTAGTGACTCATGATAAATTTATATCACAGTGTCTGATTACATTTTATTTCTTATGTGTGGAAAATATAAATAAAATACATACTGTCAATTTTATTATTTTATGAATGCAATTTGTGGCAGGAGGTACTTTGCCATTGTCATAAAATCATTGCCATAAACATCTCCAGAATTTTTCACCTTCCATAGTTAAACTCTGTCCCCAGAAACACTAACTCCCATTCCATTTTTCTGCCACTACCTGGTAACCACCATTCTGTACTATATCTCCATAAATCTAACTACTGTACCTTTGTGATGTAAATTCAACCTACACTATTTATCTCCTTCTTCTTGGTTTGTATTGCCTATCAGAAAGACTTCACGGTTACTCCTTGTAGAAAGCAGGGTATATTTCCATTCTGTTTGCTACTGGGTAGAACTCTATTATATCTGTATACCACGTTTTGTTTATTTATTCATGCAGTTATGGAGACGTTTTTGATCATATTTTCTTTAGGATAAGATAGAGATTCAGAGACAAAATATCAAGTCTGAATTTAAGAATTTCCACACTTTTCTGAATGAGGAGGAAAAGTTGTATCTTTGGAAGCTGAAGAAAGAAGAAGAACAAATGCTGACAAGACTGAGAGAGAGCGAGGCCAACCTGGAGCAGAAGATCGAGGAGCTCAAAAGCCACATCCTGGAACTGGAGGCGAAATGTCAGGGCTCAGCCCGGAACCTGCTGCAGGTGAGGTTGGAAAAGTAAAGAAGGATTTTGATGCTGAGCTATTAGAACAATGGCCAGTAACCATGGGGAGAATGGCGAGACTTGCTTTCACTCCAATGTGAACATTAGTGTGAGAATTTAGGTATCTTATACATCAATATCATCAGGGGAGCTCCATTAGTCTATGAGATGCCTGTGTGTGAAGTACAGAAACACACTTCCCCATGGCATGGTGCTCCCCCCTGTAATCCCAGCTAGTGGGGAGGCTTAGGCAGGAGCATGACAGATATGAAGCCATCCTAGGTGGTTTGGTGAGACTCAAGATGAAACTTAAATTCATAAAAATGGACCTGGGATGTTGGTTAGTAATACAATGCTTACTCAGAATGTAAGAGAACCAAGATTCAGTGTCCAACACTGGAAAAAAGCAAAACAAAGCTAAAAAAACAACAACCGAACCTTTTCTGGTGAGTACAGAATTGCTGAAAGGACCTCTAAGTAAACTTTTATCATCTGGTTTGCCAACACCCTTTGTTTCATGTGCACAAAAGCCAGGCTATCAGCATCTCTTATGAAATGTTGTGCTAAGTGACAGATAACAACAGAGGAAAAGCTGATTTTCTCTGATTTACTGGTAGAATTTTTACTCTAGAGACATTGTGGGCTATGTAAAGGACACCTTTCATGAAGATAAACAGCTGGAGCTATTAATTCTAGTCCTAGTAGTAGAACCGCCGGTCATATTTTAGGTTGAAAAGATAACACATTTATTTTAGCAAACTATGATACTGGCTGCCACCATCTTGGTCCCAGTCCCAGGAGCTATGTATACAATCACAGCAGAGGATATTGGTAATAAGTGGTCTCTAACATGGGCTCACTCTGTAGGACATCAAGTCCCTGAGAGCCAGTCTTACCAGAAGAAGGCTGAGCAAATCTGTTTGCATCCCCAGCAGCCAGAGATTGATGCCATTGTGGCCACTGCTTTTCCCCCAGAGGCTTCCCCAAGGATATCACAGTCTACTGCTGAGTGGACAGAGACCAGATAGGATGATCATTACACCCAACTCTGCAGTACTGTCTCAGGCTGGGTCCCTCTCCTCCTTTGGGTGGTTTGTTTACAAACAGCACCTCTGATGGAAGCACATGAGGAACTGAGGTTAATACACTCACCGTTTGTTTTTGTTCCTTACAGGATGTAAAAGACACCTTGAGCAGGTGAGTCCTGGAAGAAAGTGTTCAGGTGGGCAGAGTTGAACAGAGTGGACCACTGAGGACTCTTTGCTTCTTCTAGAACTTGCGCTGTGAAGCTGAAAACGCCCGAAGTCTTTTCCTTGGAGATTCAGACTGTGTTTGATGTTGCTGAGCTTTTCATGAATATGAAGGCGAAGTTAATGCACCTTCAAGGTATGTGAATCAGGGTCCTTCTCAGTGCTGTCATGGGAGGGGCCATAAGCAGCCTCAGGAGTTCTTAGTTATTATCAGCAGGGCTGCCTCACTTTCTCCATTTAGCATGGTTTTGCTGAGTTTGTCTTGCACCCTGGACAACTGAGGAGACCTTCAGTTCCTGCTCTGCTCTGTCACTCAAGGAAGCGCCCACTACACTGAGTTGTCCTGAATACTAGCTGAAATCACACGTGAATGGAGATAGATGGAATAGCATGGGTTTTCTTTGGCACAGGGTAACAATTGTTTTTCCTGTGACTATTTCAAATTCTGGCCACAGTGTAGAAAGGTAGATGAGTATAATAGGCCATGTTTCAAATAGTTTCAGAGACTTGACTCATATACCACAAGTAAATGCTAGAATCTTGTGAAAAATTGTTTCACTGTCCCAATGGCTTGTCTTCCTGTTCCATGTATCAGTACTTGTTTTATTTCTGTATTTTCCCATTATTACAAAATGCAATTATATTTTTTTCAAAATGAAGTTTTATTTTTATTTACTTACTTGCATAATGAGATCTGAAATTAATATGATTTTCTAGCTGTAGTAGTTATTTATTGTTACTGACAAAATGGCAAAATTTAGTGTCTTAAAACAACTAAAATATCTCACAGTTTTTGGGAATCAGTAATCTGGGCACAGTTTGGTGTGCCCTCAGTTTAGGGTCCCTGGAGGGTGCAGTGAAGGTATTTCCAGGCTGGATTCTCATCCTACCTCTTGCCGGGGAAGGTCCCCTCCCATACTCACCTAGGTTTCAGGCAGGATTCATTCCCCTTGGGTTGCAGTGTGTGGGGCCCCTGCTTCTTGCTGGCTGTGGCTACAGGCTGCCCTCAGCTGCTGGACCCTCTCATCAGCTCTTTGCACAGTGGACATACACATGATCAAGTGTTTTCTTCAACGGGAGCCAGGAAAGCGAATCTCCATAGCAAATATACTGGCAAGCTGTTCTGTAAATAATGAATTATAATCACAAGAGTTACATTCCATCATCTTGGTCATATTCTGCTGGTCAGAAGCAATGCTCTGGCCCTGCCCACACTTAAAAGGAAGGAATTTCAGAAGGTGTGTCCAGTGACTGCCCCATCCCCCCAGTCTGTCTATGCAAAGAACTCACCTGAACCACATGGATGGGAAGTTATTTGCAGTCCTGTTTACCCTATGTGCTTTGAATATAGATTTTACTACATAAATATCAGTGGTTTTGGTCACAAAATTCTGCATTAAATTCTGTGAAAGTACAGGATTTTAAAGCAAAAGTGCTGATGTTTAGGATGCATGTTGCCATGTTCCTAGATTCTACAGATGATAAAATTTTATCCTTCCTTCTCTTCTGGCAACAATAGCTCCACATCTTCGTAACTTTGTGTGCATAATTTTTACTATCTGATGAATTTGAAATGGTACCTAGTTGTGTACTGAACTTCAGTTTCTACGTTTTTGTTAATGAGTTTGAGAGTTTTATTCATTTTTCCCTGTAAAGTTTTATATGTCTAAGGGCTTCTGTGATTTACCCTTGATTTACTGGAGTTTAATAATTTTTATTGGATTGTTAGACTCTTACTGATTTCTGCAAGACTATAGACAATGTCTTCTCCTGTTAGGTGAGTGGCATTTTAACTTTCTTTTTTCTGATAAAGTTTCAAATTTAGGGTGGATATTTTTGTTTGAAGTTTGTTTACAAAGAGTCCAGTCACCAGTGGATGTTGAATTTCATTGATGAGTTAGTTGTACTAACTGACAGCATCCTATGATTTCTTTCTTATAAAGTGCTGATGTGTTGATTCAGCAGTTTTCTTTTTAATATCAATCCCAACTGTATTATCAGGATAAATGAAATATATATATATAATGTGTGCCATACAGATTTGATACTTCAGCTTGAAGTTAACTTGTTAATCATTGCTGCGCTGTATTGCTGTAAGATAAGGGCCGTTTTCCCAGGGTAGTTAACATAAACATAACCCACTGGAGAAGCAAAAATCTTGACATTATAAAAGTGAGTAAAAACATTTAGCTGCCACCTATATAAACTTATTTGCATTATGAGCATATTTATGTTGATGGTGAACACATTTGCTAAGTGAGTGGGAGAAATTTTCTTCTTAGTCCTGCTCATGTAGAAAGTGATTTAATATATTTTATTAAAGCTCTGTAAACACATCCCTGTTCCTTTATTGTAGTTGGTATTGCATCAGCTCTGTATGTTTGCTTCACAGCTTGATGTCCAGTTGACAAAGAAACTATCCCTCCAGGTTTTTAATTTATAGATAGAGACAGAGAAAACATATCTCAAATAATATGTAATATATATAGAAGTAAACTTTCACTAACATATATAATATATGTAAAATACTTATTTTTGATACAATGCATAGTATGTATTATAAGTAACAATCTAATTTAACATATTAAAGGTTAGTTTTTAATAAAAGAGACATATGTAACAGATATAACACATATGTTGCCTTATAAACATACATTTTTAATGTAGCCTTTGTGTTCTTTATCTTTCTTAACATAGAGGCTTCATCAAAAAAGAATAAGAAGGAGAAAACTATTTCCCTAACAGACTCTCTGAATGACAGTGGAGGAACTGATAGAGTCAGCCTCAAATCAGTCAGCTGGGCTGATCAAACAGATGACCTGGAAGAAGAGGACTCAACCAGATGGCACAGTGGGGATAAGGGTGTGTGGGGGGCTCCTAGGACTCACCACTCTGTCCTTCCCACTGCTGCATGTGCTGCTCAGGAACCCAATGTCGACTGGAGCCATCTCCCCAAGTCTCCACCCTACACTGCTTTTCTTGGGAACCTGCCCAATGATCTGGCAGAAGAGTCCATTAAGGATTTCTTTAAAGGATTAAATGTTAGGGCGGTGTATTTACCACGTGACCCCTGCAATCCAAAAAGGTCGAAAGGTTTCAGTTATGTTGAGTTTGAGGACCTGGATTCCCTGCTCAGTGCTCTGAGTCTCAATAAACAGTGTCTGGGCCAAAGAATAATTCGAGTTGTCTTAGCTGATCAAGCACACCAAGATAGAAAAAGGGAGCATAACAAGACAGACTCAAACTGGAGGGCCCGTCCTGCCACAGACAGCACAGATGATGACAGTCTACCTAGAAGAGGTAGCAGTAGCTTTGGAAGCAAGTATCGTGATTGTTATAGTTCCCATGGTGATAAGTATCAGAATGACCTATCCAGAACTACAAATCCATATGGAAGCCAGGATTATTATGGTCACCGTAGCAACAGAGGCAGTGATGGAGACTATGATTCCAGAATATACCATAGCAGAAAAGCATTTGGTAGTGGGCACCATAGCAATGATCACTGCAGAGAAGATGGGGACCCCTGTGATGGCCAATGTGCCAGAAAAGATGATGGGTCACAGAGCTCCAGAGATGACTATCAAGACTATTCTTGGCGTAATTGTAGGAGTCTGCCCCACAGACCCAGACTGAATCTGAAACCTCAGAGTAGTCCTAAGGAAGATGATTCCTCCACTAGCCCTTCCCAGCCCAGTCGACCACTTTCTATTTTTGGAGAGGCAAAACCCGTTGACACAGCCTCTAGGGAAAGAGAAGTGGAGGAACGGCAGCAGAAGGAGCAGGAGAAATCACGGCATGAGCTGGATAAACCAAAACTGCAGGCAAGCTGGCGAAGTGAAGAGACTCAGGGGCAGGAATGGTTAAGGAAAGGAAGGTTCCAAGGAAAAAGAAGTTTCTAGAAAAGAAGTCCCTAAAAAACGGTCAAGGAAAGTAAGTTTCCATTGAAGACTGAGAATCTCAGCCCTACCTGAAAAAAAAAAAATACATAAAGGAGAAAAGCAAGCCTCTAGTAAATGAAAATACTCAGTAAAGTGGAAGATTGTCACTCTTCAATTTCTAAGCTTCCCAAATATGATCAGCTTCTAAAGGTAATAACGGCCACTCCACTAAAGGAGAATGAGTGGTGAAGTAATCCTCCTGCTCCATCTCAGAGCGCCGACAGAAATCTCCTAGATATGGTGGTGGCCGGTGCGTAGCTCCAACTCAGCCATCTGAAGAAAGACCAGCAAGGAAAGATGAAACTAAAAGAGGAGGTGTGTGTGTCTACAAAGGTCAAACTGGGTGCTCCTGTCCCAATCCAGGAGACAGGGAGAGAGACAGAGAGAGAGAGAGAGAGAGAGAGAGAGAGAGAGAGAGAGAGAGAGAGAGAGAGGACTGCAGCTTTATTTTTTCAGAACCTTTTATTAGCTCATGTCTTTAGTATACGATGTTTGCATTCCTTGTGGGGAGTTGGTACATGTACACATCTTAATTTTTTTTTTCCTTAACCCTATCATTTTCCTCCCTCATCTTTCTATCCATCTCGTAAGTCTTCCCCCAACTTTTTAAATTGTGGTGTATCCTTGTGATACTCTGCTGTTGCCTGTGTGATTAGTATCTAGGGGCCTCCATTTAGCAGAAATCATAATGACAGAGATGTAGCATCTGAATTGGTTGGGCAGCAAGGGAGATATAAAAGTGAAGTTTCTTTCTTTTACTTCTTATCCTACTGTGGCATAGAGGGATTATCAACACTATCAATATATTTCCTATTCTTGGAAAACTTGATTTAGTATCTCAAATTGTTTCAATTTCCAGGACACTGCCAGTCCTTTCTCTTATTTTTATTCTTATTTATGGGGCCAGCCTATGAGTAATTCCTTTTTTTTTTTTTACCTCTCAGGGTAGTAGGGAGTCTATAGGCCATTAATCAATAAAATCACTTAGGGACCAAAATAACTGGGGGGAAATTGAGATTGTAAAAGATGCTTTGGGGAAGTGATAGATTATTTTGTACCAAGTAGTAAGAGAAAAAGATGTGACCTACAGTAAACATGTGAATGATTATTTCCTGGAGCAGAAAGCATAGAGGGGCAACGGGAATTTCCAGACTTAGCTTCCTCTCTAAACAATAACCTGTCTGAAAGTTCAAATATATCTGCATTCTGTTGAAACCTTGAAGCTTTAAAAATTCAGACCCATGTCATCTCATTATCTTCATGCTCCCTATCTCCCAAATAGCAGTCTAGCTAAGTTACAAACTTGACCTCTTAGGCATTTTCTATCTCAGTCACTCAGTGTTATGAGAAAAAGAATCACTGCTGTTCTCAAGCAAACCAGTTCATTGGTGTGTTTTGGTTACCATCCCTTCCCTCTATTCATGCCTGCTCTTATTGAATGGATTCCTTCTATAGATTAGAGTACTCTTGAAAGTGATTATCTTGGATGGTGAATAAACATGGATGAATAGTGATAATAAAATTGAAAATCTTTCTTACCACCTCATTGGAAATCTGGTCTGGGGGTTTGTCTTTTGTTTTTCTTGTTTTAGTTTTTACAATTTTCTTTTTTCCACTGAAATCTCATACTAATTGTATTAAGGTTCTCTAGAGGAACACATTCAATATTAAATATATATATATATGTAATTATAAAAGGAGTTTATGAGGTAGGTTTACAGGATCAGAAGCAGAAGCATCCCAATAGCCCTCTGCTGGATCAGAGGCAGAAGAATCCAAAATGGCCCTCTGTGCACTGAAGAGCCGGAGGACCCAGTAAGAGCTGAAGGGCCAAGTCTTAGGACCTTGCTGTAGAGTTACTGGTCTGAATCTGTCAGAAGGCTGAAGGTTCATGATAGAAACTTGAAGAAACTGGAGACCAGTGATAAAATCAATGGCAAACACGAGAGTTCCTCCAAAACAGAAAGGCACTTTCTTCTCTTTCCTCTCTTATTCTGTCCAAAGTAAAAACCCATTGGTTGGTGGCATCCACTTCAGAGGTGGGTCTTACCCCTCACTTTGCTGGTATATGTCATAACCGTTCCCAAACACACCCAGGATTTAATAATCTGCTAGATGGCTCTCACTCAGGTTAAAGTGACATATTGCAATTAATGTTCACAATCATCCTCACCAAACATATCTCCCTAAACCATACTTCATTCCAAATACAATAGCAAGTTTATAATTACACCTAACATGATATAACTATCCTGTGTCCCAAAGGAAACACCAATTCCCTTCCTATAGAGAAGGCAAAGTTTTTCTTTGGGTAGTGCTTACTCTTCTCCCAACATTCCACAACTCAAACATTAAGGACCTCTATTAAGTCAATTGGCATTATGTTACAAAGAAAGAAAACAATATATATACACATTTAACACATGCATATGTATGCATGAACATTAACAAAATAATAATTTATGACAAATATAATCCTCATTTCTATAGCTGGTCATGCAGCCATAGCTGCATAACTACCTTCTGCTATACATTAGGACACATACACTATTTTCTTTCTTTGTAACATAATGTTGATTGACTTAGTAACAGTGGAGCATTTTTAATTTGTAGCTCCATTTTGCATTCCTTTGGCTTTAGCAAGCACTTCAGCACATGTTGGATCTTTACCTGTAGGCATGATCTGTACTTTTATTTCTCAAAATTCTGGCCCATTTGTCGTCCTGCCTAGATTGTGTTGTGTAGTTTCTAAGAACCCTAGTAACAGAGCAAGTGATAGTAGGAAATGGGCTAAAGGGTCCGCTGCACTTCACATGTGTTCCTCCTGTCCTCCACTGTGGAGGAGTAGTGCAATTTCCCCCTAGCAGTCTGGATCAGTCACCTCAGACAACACCATAACTCCTTTTTTAGGTTGCCTATTCAGAGGTACCAGCAACCCAAAATAACCAGGGAGAAGTCTTAGCTTCCCTTTCAATGGACTGAATCATTGTTGTGGATCTGCTGTAGCTTTTCCCTTTCTGGAATTGAACCTTACAGGTCTGCAACCATAAAGTCACACGAATAAGAAAACTTTGCTAATGGGTGACTAGGCATAATGGTGAGTGGTGCCATTTCCACTTCTGCATGTTGACTTCCCTGGATCCATGAACCTGCTATGAGAGAAACAGTATCACATACAAGGCACTGACTGAAAGCATATTCAATGTTCTGGAACACTTTACCCCAGCACTGCAAGATACTGCTACCTAGCTAGCACAATAATTGCACTGTTACAAGACCATTACACCCTTCAGTCAATCCAGCTGCCTCTGGCCTCTGGATTGTCCTTAGCACCCACAGTTCTAGTGCACTGGTGCTCGTAGAGTAACTGTGAAAGACCCATGAAGTTGAAATCTGGTCATCTATAAATTACCTTCTTCATTTGATGATAAAATAAAACAAAAATATATAATAAAAAAAGCATTGAAATTTTTTTTTTTCAAAGAGCAGGGCTTGAGCACAGTTTCAAATGCTGCTTGTTAATATCAACTTTACTGTTTCCTCGTAGTCATCTAGCACAATTTGTCTCACTAGACTAAACCTTGAAACTACAGATAGTCTACTGTCTTGTCAGTCAGATGCCTCTTACTTACAAACGTTAAATGCAGATTCTGCTTTATCACCTTTAGGGAGGATGAAGCAGAGAAGAAGATAATGGAAAAGAAATACCCCAGTGTCGGACTTAGTGTGAGGCAAAAGTAGCAATGTAGAAGGAGCAGCAGCAGCAAATGGCTGCAAGTGGGTGTCAAAGGAGGATTAGCCGAAAGCGCTCGAGGGAGGTGGTGCCCAGCGGAGTGCTTATGGACAAGTATCCAGCTCAGGCGCTCATCAAAATAGCCACAACTCTTACCGAACTGTGGCATTTGCAACAGGCAGTGAAGCAGTATTTGTAGTTCCTGCCACCTGCTAATAGAAGTTCAAACTAAACCTTTAGTATCAAGTTCCTGAATGGAAGTATAATGTTGGGTCCCTCTGAAGTTTAATTCTGAGTTTTCATTAAAAGCAATTTGCTTTCATTGTTTTCTTAATTGCTATGCTTCAGATCAATTTGTGTTTTATCCCCTTATCCCAGTATTGTATTGTGTTAAAAGCCCAGTGTGACAGTGTAGTGATGTAGTAATGTCTTACTGATTTTTCTGTGTATATCAACCACATGCTCCAATCACCGACCATCAATAGAATTATATATATACACCCTTATAGGCCAGTAGATGGAGCCAGATATCGCCATTGGCTTTAGAGCCATGTTGACCTGAGCACTTTGAGACTATGTGAAAATTAGATTTATGAGATTGCAATAATAAAAGATCACATAAACCTGTTCCAGGAAGATCAGACCATGTTCAAATTAGGGAAGAAAGGAACTTGCATCCTGCTTCCTGAAAATCTGCTCCTCAATATCCACAATGAAGAGTGAAACAGATTAGAACGTTAGAAATCAGGCTACAGCAAATCATAGAAAAATAAAGTTCTACTTATCCACCATCATTTAATATTTCTGGGAAAATGGTTAGGTCCATCTCTTCTCTAGGCTTTCATTACTCCAAGAATGTAAGAACTCAGTTTCAGAGATGAGACAGGAATTTCACTATAATAGGGGACCCATCTCACACAGCAGATTTGGATCTCAGGAGCATCTCAGGTCCTCCAAATAGCACTTTAATGATGAACTGACCTTCCCTCTGCTCCATAAAAATTAAAAGGGATGTGGGTAAGGGAGTTCAGGAGAGGACCAATGTCCTGCAGCTCTGCAGTAGCACTGAACGAACTTGTGCCAAAGCTGTCACCAGAAGCCAGTTCCTTGGTTTTACCCTGGTCCTCACCCACCCCAGATGATCCCCCAGAATGATGTCAGCCTGTCCCTCACTCCCTGCTCTTATGGGGTTCTGGTGGTATTCACAGACAATGGGCCTTCCTTTGGGCTGGGGCAAACCTTGGGCTCTAGGACCTGAAATGGGAGGCTCTGGGACCCCAGATACTTCCAGTTGGAGTAGCACGGGACACAGGACATACAAGATCTTGTGACTCTCCGTTTAACTCTTCCTCTGGGCTCTACTGATTCTGAGAGAAGTGAATGTGTGATTGAGTTAAGTTTGGTTACTGGGCAGCATCCTAGCATTCCTATACTCAGCTTCTTAATCTATGAACAACGATGTATTTAGATCAGTTAAATGTATTCATACATTTCTGATGTATATGTGTACATAACACTGGTATAAAATAAAAAGGTATCTGATCCTGTAATAACAGCATCTCTTCTTCAGAGACAGTAAGTTTCTAGAAATTGAGACTTGTCTAATTATATGTTATCAAGTCTAAAAACTAAGCATTATATGATTAAAATGATTGAGGATTGTACTTATTCCTCATTTTAAGACATCAATAACTTGGTAAGAACACCTCATTCCAATTTTATAAACAATCAGCTTTGAGAAAATACTTTTGCTCTACAAGTTTATAGTTATTTCTTACTTATTGCCTTTTCGTCTGTTAATAATGTACTTACTTTGTAAAATGGTTAAATAGTTTTAAAAGATGCTGAAAAACTTACTTCTCTATAACAGATAAACTGCCATTTTTACTAGAGTAGACCTTGATTAAATTAGATACTTAAAAATACTCTTTAAAAATCATTTGGTTTTCTCAAGAAAACCTTGAAAGGTTTAAACATAAAATCTTGGCCTCCACCCACACGTTTTATATTTTTTTTTTCTGGATAAATGTACAGTACTTATATCTGTTACTGGTTAATGTGGGCCCTTGTTTTTAGTAACAAAGGAAATTGAAACTAAAATATAAATTAACAAGGAACACTTCATTAGAGAATAAGAAAAATGTATGGTAAGGGATACAGCTTGAGCAACCAACAAGGGTAAAGTCAGCCCTTAACAAAGGAGAGGAAAAGAAATAGCCGGGCATTGTGGCATAAGCCTGTAAGCCCAGCACTCAGGAGGCTGAACGCAGAGGAGGAAGGTAAGTTTAAGGCTAGCCTGAACTACATAGTGAGAACCTCTATCAGTTAATAAATAAAAAATCAAAACAAAGAGAAAACAGGAAGACTCTAGCTTGAGGGTCTGATGATGCAGAAGTCAGAGTGGTCCCCCACAAAAGCAGGAGACCAGCTCTTAGGATATCTGGTGAGCCCACTGAGCATCTATCTTCTCAGTCTTGGGTGCATAGGTCTGGCATCCTCATGACTGTGGGGTGGTTCTTTTTCCACAGAATGAGTGTTTCTGGTCACAGGTGTTTCAGTCATGTGGGGTTCCACTGCTCCTGGAATCTGGGTGATCACAGGATTAAGACAATGGCTGAGATTTCCGGGCACAGCTGGATACCCCTGTAAGTGTCTTATCTTAGCATGCTCGGCCTTGAGGAGGGATTAAAGCATATACATTGAGAAATACTGAACCCCGTCTGGCCAGCTCCTAGACAATCTCTGAATGGTTAAGGTATTTATATGTAGACCAGAGAAGTGATTTAACCTAAAGTTTTGTGGTAATGAAAGATACATAAT